CCCCCCCCCCCCCCCCCCCCCCCCCCCCCCCCCCCCCCCCCCGATGCGTCGCGAAAGTAACCGCACGCTAATTTCACCTCTCCTCTGCTGGTGTGAACAACAGTTCCTCGCTGAGGCAGTTCCATGTCTTTCATAACTCGGATTTTGGCAAAAAGAAGGTTACACAAACCAACTTACAAAGATACTGGCAATGCTTTGCTCCATGCAGCGCAAAGTAGACCGGGGGCGGGGGCAGGGCGGCGGAGCTCAGTGGGGCCGGTGAAGGATTCCCGCTGTGTAAGTGAGGCTTGGCAGTGAGCCTTTTAACAGCATTCCTGAGGATGGAGGGCATGTTATCTAGCCCCTGGTTACTGTTTTCCTGCAGAAGGGGTTCCTTCCCAGAACCGGCTCTTCTCACTTGCCCGCTGGTGGCAGAGATCCCGAGGAACAAAAAGCGAAATCTTGCCTTTTCCTTTGTTCCCTGCAGGGCACCGGCCTCCCTCTTCAGTTTGGCGACCAGTGGCCCTGACCTTGCTGACTCTGTGTTTGGTGCTACTGCTTGGCCTGTTGGCCCTGGGGCTTGTGTGTAAGTCTGCGCTCTGACTTGGGGGGAGGATCTTGGTTCTAAGGGTTGTCTGGGATGAGAAATACTTTTATGAATTTTTTTTTTTACTTTAATTCTAACCCTAACCCTAACCCCATGGGTACTTCAGTGTACCTTATTCTAAAGCACCCATGTAAATGATGAGTAGTGAAAGAAGCATTAAGATGCAGCAATCGCTTGCCAGCTAGACTTTTACATTCCGTGTGAGATCTAGCAGGGTTTTGTCCGTTTCCATGCCGATATTTAAAATCAGCAATTTTTAATGCATGCATGGTTTAACCCTCTTTTATCCTACAAAAGAGTAGAGGCAGTGGTTTTTGCTCTTAGTATGCATGACTCAGCAGGCTAATACAGAGGGAAGAGATTTCATTGATGTCTACCCCCTCAATATAAGGAGGACAGACTAGGTCCTTAATGACCACAGTATTTTTCAGAAAGCCCAGGAAGTTATAGAATCATTTTGCAAAATCTTGTGAAAACCAAACAAGGAAACATGCGTGTGGAAAAGTCTTGAAATTTCAAACCAGGAAGGACAAGTTCAAAAACTAAAAAAGCGAAGTGGGTGAATTTGCTTCGTGAGATTGAGACCCTATAGTAAATGTTTCCTGAGCAGTTGAAGAAGGTGATTCAAGACATCGTAAGTTTTTAAAATTAAAAAATATATATATTTCTCTATCATGGCCTCCAAAGTTTTAATTCATTTTGATATAATTTGTTTCATGACCGCCATGACTTTTAAGGATATGAAGCAACTTTCATGATTCATGAAGGACTTTTCTACTTAGATTTAGAAATCTGAAATCTGGAGTTTAAGCCTAAGGGTTGGTTGAAATTTTCTAGACAAGAGATATTAAGGATGTTGCTTGTTCTCACTGAGCCCAGTGGGAATCCATAAAACTATGGAAATGATAATAGGACTACTTTAATGACTGAATGAGATAACAATATATGCTGATTGTCCATATTAACATACTAATCATTAGATGAGTGGATTTGTGGTTTCAGGTTAAGCAGTGCTATAAGCGTATGCACAAAATATTTATTGAGTAGTGAATATGGGTGAAGATTTTAGTCCTGAAGTTAGAAACCGTTATTATGATTCTACATTGTCAGATCAAAAGACGGAGTTTGAGAAATTAAACTGCTTGAGACAATGCAATTTATTGTGTACTGCAGTTCAAACTTGAATGCACACGCTAGGAAAGCTCAAAGCATGAGATCTTAAACAGCACAAGGTTTTTTCTTCCCCATATGTAAAAAGGGGAAGTAGAAATGAAGAAGCCAGCCGTCCAGTCTGACTTGGTAACTCGGGTTAGTTTTCCAGTTCTACCAGCTTTCCAACACTCAGCAAGACAGCATTTCTAACAAGGAAGAAAGATTGGCGAATCTCTCCCGACAGCTGCAGTCTCTCCAGACAAAGAACAGGAAGCTTGCAGAAATTCTGCAGCGCGTGGCTGAAAAACTGTGTCGTGAGCTGTATAACAAAACTGGAGGTGAGCCCTGTTCACTAAGCTCCCTCCGCCCTCAGGATATCTGTCATGGTAGAGCTGACTTTCCCAACCGTGTACCTGGGAGTCACATAATATTCAGTTTGTTGTCTGGCGAACATAATAAAGAATTTGGGCGCCTCCCATCCCCAGTTACTGGATCATTTAGTTCAGGTACCTCTGTGTTATAATATTAAAAAGATTCTTCAAATTCAGACATTAAAAAAAAATTTTTTTTTAACGTTTATTTACTTTTGAGACAGAGAGAGACAGAGCATGAACAGGGGAGGGGCAGAGAGAGAGAGGGAGACACAGAATCTGAAACGGGCTCCAGGCTCTGAGCTGTCAGCACAGAGCCCGACGCGGGGCTCGAACTCACGGACCGTGAGATCGTGACCTGAGCCGAAGTCGGACGCTTAACCGACCGAGCCACCCAGGCGCCCCTCAAATTCAGACATTTTAAACAATAAAAACAATTAACGTTGAATAGCCAAGATAATAGTGCACGTAAATAAAATACAGAGTTATTTCTTAATTTACCTTGGCACATAAAGAGCTGAGAGTAGTATACATTTCGTAATGAGTTTATCAATCTTTTCTCACTGAGAAGTTAATGAGCTCGTAACTATAGTTCTCCCATTTTAAGAACCACACTGGCATCAGGTTAAAAATGCTGATAAACGGTATGGGGGCACCTGGGTGGCTCAGTCGGTTAAGCGTCCGACTTCGGCTCAGGTCATGATCTCATGGTTTGGGAGTTCGAGCCCCGCGTGGGGCTCTGTGCTGACGGCTCGGAGCCTGGAGCCCGCTTCAGATTCTGTGTCTCCCCTTCTCTCTGCCCCTCCCATGCTCATGCTCTGTCTCTCTGTCTCTCAATAATAAATAAACAATAAAAATTTTTTTAAAAATGCTGATAGGCTGAGTCAAATCACAGTCATTTAAATCCACTCTGCCTTGCCTGGGTACCAGAAATCTGCATTGTGGTGATGATGACAATGCCAGTGATAGATGAGGCACGCTTTGATGACCACAAGACCGGAAGCCTCATCTCATTCCCAGGCCTTTTTCTCCTGTCTTTTTTGGGTTTCGTCATGCCTAACTCTATTCCAGTTAGTCTTCTCTTCTGTTCTGCTCATTGTGTGAGCACAGGAAGCAACCCACATTTCGAGTCTACTTTTTCTTTTTCTTTCAGGGACTTTAAATTGGGTTGAAGTCTTCCTCCTCCATAGGGGTATCACTTCCCACGCTAACCAGACAGCCAGACTGCGTGGTTAGCCAGTAAATGGCACCCACGTGCACGCTCCTATTTCTCTAGGCGACTCTTTTCCGCATGACTCATGGCCTCACTGGTCACGATTTTCTTTCTTTTGTTTTCCTTTGTTAACTTTCCTGAGGAATAGTTGACAAATGTAGTTGTATGTATTTGAAGTAGAACGTTACGGTTCGAGGTACACATACATTATGCAATCATACTCAAAGTCAAGATGATCAATGCATCTAACCACCTCATAGAGTCTTGATTTTTCCTTCTTGTGCTTCCGACAACCCGCTGTATGTTGTCTTCTATGGTGGGCGCTGTGCCTTCGAAAGGTAATCCAAGTTTCTCTGAAACCGCTTGTCTCTGGGATTTACCACTAGCTGTATAAAAACAAACAGAAAGCTGGATATACAAGTAAACCATGCCTCCCTTAAATATAAAATCTACATGCCATCTGTTAACGATATCCCTTATTGCCATGAAAATGTCCATATAGCTTTGGTTTGATGTTCGTTCTCAGTTTTATTCTGATGCTCTCCATTCCTTTCCCATTATCCATCCATCCATCCACTCTCCCATTCAGCTAAGATTTATTGAGCACTGACTGATGCATGCCATGCAACGTATACACAGATTTCTGCCCTCGTAGACCTCTTGCTCTATTGGGGTGGTGGTAACAAATAGACTTAAAAACATAAAATAAGATGATCAACTTGTCCCAGTGTGCTGGAAACTTTTCCAGCTTTAGTACTGAAAGTCCCACATTTTGGGAAAGCTCAGGTTTCAGGCACACAGGAAAGGGTTGGTCAAACTAAACATAATCTATAAGAAGGTAATCAATCCTGTGGAAAATAAAGTAGATAAGGCATGAGGCATCAGGGATTTAGGGATGGTGGGTTGCTAATTAAAGTAGGGAGACCATGAATTCCTAATTAAGGTGAGGGTATCGGAGCAAAGATTTGAAGAGTTGGGGGAATTAGCCATGTAGATAATATGGGGAAAGCACCAGCCAAGGAGGTTCTGGAAAGAACCGGAACAGGAAGTGCAGGAGCCCTCAAGTGAATACAACTGCCTGTTCAGGGAATGATAAGGAGCCTGTGTGCCTAGGGCAGAGTGAGGGAGCGGAGAACTAATAGTGATTATTTATGGCGTTTGGTGACATGGTAAGGGATTTGGCTTCTATTTGGGGCAAAATAAGGATCCACTGCAGCATCTCCGGCTGAGGAAATATATATCTGACATGAGTTTTAAAGGCTAACTCTGCAAATATGTTGAAAATAGACTGGAGGAAGGAAGAGTGAAAACAGAGAAATGACATCAGAAATGGCTTTTGCAGTCATCCAGGAGAGCGGTGATGGTTCCTCAAACTAGGATGTTATTAGTGGAGATGAATGAAGGATGGAATAAAATGGGAGGTGAGAGAAATAAAGGAGTCAAGGATACCTCCAGAGATTTTGGACAATGCAATTAGGGGAGACGTGATCAAGTGAGATGGGGCAGGATTCTGTAGTTATGAGGGGGAAGGTTAGAAACCAAAAGAACACTGTTTTGGGCCTGTTGAATTTGAAGTATCATATGGATATCCAAGTGGAGAGCTGAGTAAGTAGTTTGCTATAAAGTCTGGGCCAGAAATATCAACTAACTTATGAAAAATCTCCCAAATTATTTATTTATTTAAAACTTTGTTTTACCTTAAGAAATATTTCACATATGCACACACAAAAAAATGCGAACAATAACATCATATCCATTAGCATATTGACCATTTACATTGTAACATGTTAACATTTTGACACTGGGTTGTTTTTAAAATAGATACATTTTTATGGAATGATTGAGTTCCCATACCTCCATAAGGATTGTGGTTACAAATATCTGTTCTCAAAAGCCCAAGGCCATGTACCCTCACCAGTACTGAAACCATGGCTTTCAGGGAGTAGTTCCTACACTTATAACCTCTACCCACATAGTCCTTCTCACCCTTGACCTGTGCACTTAGCTTTTCCGACTGTGGGGCCCATCTTAATTTCTGACACATGGAGATTTACCCTTTGAATTCATACTTTGCTTAGTACTTATGCTTTTTTTTTCTTAAATTTTATTGACTTTTTTAGAATGAGAAAAGAGTCCATATCTTATTGGTATATATTGCATTTTTAAAAAAAAAGCCTTTGGGTGCCTGGTTGGCTCAGTCGGTTAAGCATTGGACTCTTGATTTCAGCTCAGGTCATGATCTCATGGTCATGATCTCGTGGTCATGAGCTGAGCCCCTCGTGGGGCTCTGTGCAGGGCATGGGACCCGACTGGAATTGTCTCCCTCCCTCTGCCCCTTTCCTGCTTGAACACGTGCATGTGCACATGCTCTCTCTATATTAAAAAAAAAAAAATTTTTTTTTTACAATTATTCAAGAGAATTTTGAGGAAGAAAAGTATGGAAGCTTCAGTTGTTTCTTAAATACCATGCATAATTAAAAGCTCTTTATGAAACTGAATATTCTCTGTTACATATGGCAAGAAGCAAGGAAGTTCCAATCATTCATTGCTAAGTTCCAAACTCCATGAAAGCACGTAGTGTCTGTTTTCATTTTTTTTTTTTTTTAGGTTTTTTTTTAACGTATATTTATTTTTGAGAGCGAGAGAGGGAGACGGAGAGAGAGACAGAGAGAGCACAAGCAGGGGAGGGGCAGAGAGAGAGGGAGACAGAATCAGAGGCAGGCTCCAGGCTCTGAACTGTCAGCACGGAGCCCAACACGGGGCTCGAACTCACGGCCCCGGGAGATCATGACCTGAGACGAAGTTGGATGCTTAAGCGACTGAGCCACCCAGACGCCCCTGTTTCAATTTTCACTGGATATTTTCAAATTCCACCATATATTCAGTACCAGTAACAACTCGTGGCACATAGAGGGTGTTCGGTAAACATTTGTAGTTATCATCACCCGGGCAACTAAATAAGAGGAAGGGCATCAATTCTCTCTTGAGTCATCACGTACTATATAACTTCAGGAAAGGAAAGAAGGTAGACCTGGATAGAAAAATAACGTATCAAAATTGGTTTCTTTCCAAGAACACAGATGCAGCCCTTGTCCAGAAAAATGGAAATGGCATGGGGACAAATGCTACCGATTCTGTAGAGACAGCAAGAGTTGGCAAGGCTGTGAATATTTCTGCCTTGCAGAGAACGCCACCATGCTGAAGATAAACACGCAGGAAGTGCTGGTAAGATCCTGAGGCTTAGTCAGTGTGAATTGTTCGCAAAAGGAGGTCTTTCAAAGAACCGTATAAGAAGAATCTAAGGAGTCAATGCTCACAGAGTCTCACACTTACTGCCATCAAGGCCTAAGTCTTACTCCTGTTGTGTCGAGTGATTCCCTGGGTTATGGAAGAAGGCATTTTCTGTTCTCCACAGAAACCCATGCCTTAGAACCACGAGAGGAGGCGCTTCAAAATCTCCACCAGTCAGGAATCAAATTAAAAACTGTTTTCGTGCCTCACCTCTTTGGATGTGGGCGGGAAGGGCACAATATGGAGGCAGTGTCAGAAAGACACTGTCCTTCCGTTATAAAGGGACAAGGGCTTTCATTAAAAATATTTCATTAAGTAAATCACTACTAGAGTTTGCAGATAAATACCTTGCTTTCCAGAAGTTTGTAACCTAACATAGACTGGTCAAGGCAAATATGAAAGTGAAATTATAAATGGACATATATTAAGTATATGCGGTTAAAATAAACTCTAAAAAATCACGTAATTGTCGCCACCTTAAAAAAATACTTATCATTGCCTTTGGATTTAGTCCCTCAAGCAGTGTGACCATTATGTATTTATCATTGTTTTAGGGGAGGTCTCAGCCCAGAGTAAGTAGTTTATCCACAAAGGATTATTTAATTGAAATAAAAGGCCACCTCACTATGCAAACTCTTAACATCCCTCTGGTTACATCCAAATTCCTACCCACTTTCTGAAATCTGTGATGAATAGAACTCTGCACTGTCTCTTGTCCACTAAAATAATATTTGTATCCTTTCTTGACAGCTCAATGTAAGCAGAAAGGGAGGTAACTTTATTTGACTAAGACAATGTGTCCTACCATAAGCCCATCTAATTTTTCTTATTCTCTTTGTTTTCCCCACCTCTCGTACATACTGAGGACTCAGGTATATAATTGAACTGCGTTATATATAATGGTAGGGAATATCGTGAAAGTTATACAGTGATTTTCTCTCATGCTTCATATCCTTGTATATATTTAAATCATTTCCATGTGATTTATATTCAAAACTTTTAATTCGAGGGATCTACCCTTCAGTTGGAAGTATTTCAACTACACTTCTTTCGATAGGCCTACTCGATGACTATTATTTAGCGATAGTTTCACATACACTGCCAGGAATCTTTTCTTGAACAAACATGTGCCATTAACTAACTGAAGGGTTGAAGACATAAAAAAAAATGTGTGCGTCCTTAAGGAACTCATAATATGGTGGAAAAGAAGGACATGAAAATGGATAATTATCACAAATTTATATAATTTCTATGTTATCAAGAGTGAGACTAGATAGAAGGAAGTGAATAACTTAAAAACATTTCAGTATAGGGGCGCCTGGGTGGCTCAGTTGGTTGAGCGTCTGACTTCGGCTCAGGTCATGATCTTGCGGTTTGTGAGTTTGAGCCCCACATCGGGCTCTGTGCTGACAGCTCGGAGCCTGGAGCCTGCTTCAGATTCTGTGTCTCCCTCTCTGTCCCTTCCCCTGCTCATGCTCTGTCTCTCTGTTTCTCAATAATAAATGTTAAAAAAAATAAAAAAATTTCAATATAGATATTAGGGAAGAAATTATATATATGAGTATATATGTATATATAAATACTATACAAAAATATAAATAGACACACACATATGAAAAATTTCTCTGCCCTTCCTTGTCTGAGACATAAATCATCCTTCCAAATTTTCTCTTACATCTTTTTGCATTAAATTATATTCATTAGTCTTTTCTCCTTCTGGGTCAGTCCCTGTAGAAAGGTTATTTTTCCCATGTTTACACTTGTCCTTCCATACTCTTCCATTTCCCAGAATTACTCCCCATCTCTTTGTAAATCTGCCTCTCATTTTTTTATATAAACCTTAGTATTTGTGACTTGCAAATAATGGGTCATTTATAAATCTTGGTTGATGCGATTCATGGTTTCAGAATATCAGTATATATTCCATAATTATTAAGACAAGATCAATTCTTTAACTTGGCCAAATTGACCTCCCCGCAGACACTTTTTCTCTCAAGGGCACTATCACCTATGTGGGGCAGGACTCATGTGTTGTTCTTGTATTAAAAGTGTTGGCTGGCCCTACACATCTCTGTGTGTATAGGGTGTAACATCTCTAAAGCTAAAGATTTTCTTGTGTGCCTTTCACAGGAGTTTGCCATGCCTCAGAGCTACTCTGAGTTTTTCTACTCTTATTGGACAGGGCTATCCCGCAATGGCAGCAGACAGGCGTGGCTATGGACCGACGGAACCCCGTATTCCTCTGAACTGTAAGCCTTCAGAACATTTTGTGGGAAAAGCATTTAATAGAGAGGGTTTGCTTGCATCACAGAGTCCAACAATTGGGTTCAATCAGCATTAGTCGAACATCTGCTTTGCACTGGGTGCGGAGTTTGTCAGAGGATGGACCAAGACATTCAAAAATAAAACATAGTGCTTGCTTTTCAATGGCTTATAAACCAGTGAAGGAGACCTACAAACTGTTAGTGTAACAGTGGGGGCAGTTCCCCGTCTGAATGCTTTCAGAGTGTTTATCTCAGGGCCTGAAGTCCCTTGGAGTTATCAATACCCGGAGACAATATAAGACCTCAGATTTCTTGGCTTTCTGGGTAGTGTAATAAGGAGCGCATATTTATTTATTTTATTTATTTTTTTTATCATTTTTTTAATCATTTATTTTATTTTTTTTATCATTTAATTAATATATTTTCTTTTTTAATATGAAATTTATTGTCAAATGGGTTTCTATACAACACCCAGGGGAGCACATCTTTAAAAGTACAGTTTCTGAGACTAGATTTGCTGACATTGTAAGAGTAATATTATCAAAAATTACTTTTACTTATGTGAGCACTTAGATAGGATTGTCATGGTATCTTTTGAAACAGGTAAATGTAATACCTATCCCCAAATATATTACAGCTTAAAGCCACGTTCGGACAGATACCTTTCTTCTCTTTATATTGTACAGGATATCTTCTCCCAGGAGGTAGGACGTAATCAGTGTAATCTTTTTTTTTTTTAATTTTTTTTTAAATTTTTTTTTTCAACGTTTATTTATTTTTGGGACAGAGAGAGACAGAGCATGAACGGGGGAGGGGCAGAGAGAGAGGGAGACACAGAATCAGAAACAGGCTCCAGGCTCTGAGCCATCAGCCCAGAGCCTGACGCGGGGCTCGAACTCCCGGACCGCGAGATCGTGACCTGGCTGAAGTCGGACGCTTAACCGACTGCGCCACCCAGGCGCCCCTTTTTTTAATTTTACAGTTAATTAAACTGAGTCGCAGATGATTTCTCAGATGGTGGTAAAATCATATGATACATTTGATGGATTGTAACATGCCTCCTAGTTTTAATTAGAAACAGCTTTTGTTGCTTTAGATGAACGGATGCTTCTAAGAATGAGTATGGAAATTGAGGGGCTGAAAGTAAGAGCTTGGTGACCCCGTTCTTCACAGTAAATTCATTCTGCGTGTCTATTCTACAATTTTGTCAAGTGAAGAATACTCCCTATGTACTCTCTGGGTATTTAACATTTCACTTTAGAAGTAAACTATGATTCAATTAACCTTTTTTTTTTTTCTTTCTTTCTTCAAGGTTTGAGATTATAATAGATTTCACCAGCCTAAGAAGCAGGGACTGTGTGACCATCCTCAATGGGAAGGCTTTCTCAAAGGACTGCAAAGAGTTGAGGCGGTGTGCGTGTGAAAGAAGGGCTGAAGCAGTGAAGCTTGAGAGCCTCCATTAGCCTCTCTGAGCCATTAGGTGGAAGTGATTGACTCTTCCGCCATAAAGGTGATGTCAAGCTCCCTTCAGGGAAATTGAAGATCAGAACAAAAGTCAATTTCTTTATGGGCACCTGTAATAATTTGGTTTCAGTTCCTTTTTTTCTCCTATTGGAGCCATGTTTGTACAACAAAGCAGCAAAATGATTTGAGCCAAGCAAGGTCATTGCAAAGGATATTTGAGACATTGGGAAATGGGAAAAAAGGAGGAAAGGCAGTTTCTCTGACAGGTACAAGAAGCACTTGCCTGTTTCCTGCTCAAGATCGCCAGCATTTCTGAGCTTGGGTTCATGCAAATGTTTATGAGTCACAAAGAAGTCCTACCTGCATACCACCCACCAGTCGCAGACTTTCGTAAAGTTGTAATCTACCTTCTTGACCTAGAGATGCTTTCCAGCGTTCTTCCTTCTCATCATCTAATATCATCTGCCTTTTGCCATGTCTTCCTTAATATTTGGAGAAGTGAGAAACTTACTGAAGTAGAGGAAATAAAGGTGTGTAACATTCTTTACTCCAAAGGTCAAGTAGACCATGAGAAATTAGCAGTCATTTTCTATACAACGCTCTTAAATACAGAACTAATTCTTTCTGTTTCTGTTTGCTTCAGTCCGTACTTTTCCCTTCCTACTCTCTCAATAAAGCCCCCATCTGCCATGTCTAGGGCTTGCTTCCCACTGGGATAACTCTTTTTATTAGAATCTTAACTTCTTATGAACATACCTCCCCAGGTTCACTTAAGACTCCAACAATTACCTCCTTTCCTGAGGAATTTCTTCCAAGAAAGAAATATTCTCAGCTCAGTTTTGTATCCCAGTTACTGCCCTGATCCTCCCTTCAGAGAGATTGAAGACCAGAGCAAATGTCAGTCTCTTTATGTGAATCTAATCATGTGAGTCTTTCTTTTTTTATATGAAATTTATTGTCAAATTGGTTTCCATAATCATGTGAGTCTTTAATCAGTCCCGATTTTCTTCCATTTGATCCATGCTTATGCCTTTCAGGTACTGAAGATTTAATAATAATAAATGTAAATAATGTGAAATGTATGTGATTTGAGAATAGATTTGTGATTTGGGGAAATTTTCAGCGTGGAGATGTTCTTCAAACTATGATAGCAACCTGTGTTTTGGTTGTTTGTGCCTTACAGAGAGTTTGTAGGGACTGTACAAGAGTACTGATTATTTGATCACTGGAAGAAGATAAGTCTTTGAGAGGCACACTGATTTCAAGAAGGTGATTTTAGCACTTTCCTGAGATGAAATCTTTTGAGGCAAGCTGGTCATCAACACATGGCTAAAGATAAGTCAGGGAAATTTTAATAGGTTGAGTTATCCAGTCAGGTCCTGGAAAGGGGAAGAGAGACTGTGACATTTGCACACATCACTGGTTTGTTGTGTAAGCATTCCTTTCTCAGGAAGCCAATATGCACAATCATAACAGGGGTCATGGTAAATAACACCATCACAACCACTGACTGTTTGTGTATGGAAAAATCAATTTTAAGGGTTTAATGCTAGAAAGGATCGTCTATTATAAATCTTTATTTGTCAGCAGTGGAAACTGGGGTGTTTTAGTTTTATTTTCAGTAAACATCTATCTCATGGTAAAATGATATTAAATTAGCAATCATGATAAAGAGAATATTTCTGTATTCATTTTCATAAGACTGCATTACTTAGCAATCACTACTTGTGGGTTTCTTACTTATGAGTTAATTTTCTTTTCAATTTTCTGTCGATTCGTCAGGAAATGTCTTCAGCGTTGAACAAATTTTGTCTTGATTTATTGTGTTGTGCAAAAATAACTGCACTTGTGGCCATAAAATGAGATGTTTTAGATCCCCTATACTGATTCATTATTGGGCAAATCACTTTACCTCATGAAGTTTATTTCATTACGTATGAAGTGGAAATGTTTGTAATTCTCTCGTGGTGCTGTTGTTAGCTGAACTGGGGTAAATATGAAATTAGTTTTACAATCTAAATTGCAATATGAAATGTAAACGACATTAACAACACGTAAAAAAAGGATTTAGCGTTTTCTTTTAAAGTTTATTTATCTATTTTGACAGGGACACTGTGAGCGGGAGTGATGCAGAGAGAGAGGAAGAGAGAGGATCCCAAGCAGGCTTTGTGCTCTCAGCAGGGCTGGATCCCATGAACCATGAGATCATGACCTGAGCAGAAACCAAGAGTCGGATGCTCAACTAACTGAGCCATCCAGGCACCCCTATTTTTTTTTTTACATAAGGGACTACAAAAAAGCATAAGCAACCCTTTTTGGATATCTGTATTCTTTAGTAACTTATCGAGAGGCACTTACATTAGGAAGATGTGGATATTGCCAAATGTTTTTTATGATGAGTGCGGATATTTAATGAATGCGATTAATAAAATAGGCACATAACAAGAAATGTGGTTTAGGACTTTAGTTAAGCAATTAAGTGTTATTTAAGTTTTGTGACCACGGGAAGAAAACGTGGTTAATATGAGAAAGTCAAATTATTTTGTGGACTAAGTTGTAAAACAGGGACATGGGACACATCTTTTTGACCCCTGGCATCCTACATAACTGCAGTCTAGTTCAGGGTTGAATGACAAGTGTCTCTTTAAATGCCATTACTTTAAAGAGACTAGCCGCCTGGAAAGTGGGTGTTGAAAAGTGTTCTCCCTTCAAATCTACAACCTAAGGGAAAGTGTCACTTTAGATAGTGAAGAGGGAAAAAAATAGCATTTATTTGACATTCTTGCTATTCTTAACCCTATTTCTCTCCATATTTGCCCTCGGTCCCATCATCTGTATCACAAAACTTGCGACACTGATCACAATATGAGCAGATATTTCAAAAGAACAGAAATATAGTAGGGCACAACATTTTCTCCCCATTTTAAAAAATATTTAAGAATAGGAAATAGGGGCTCTTGGGTGGCTTAGTTGGTTAAGCATCAGACTCTCGATTTCAGCTCAGGTCACTATCTCATGGTTCATGAGATCGAGCCCCGCATCGGGCTTCCCGCTGAGAGTGGAGCCTGTTTGGAATCCTCTTTCTCTCTTTTTCTCAAAAAAAAAAAAAAAAAAAGGAAATAATCATGATGTGAACTTGGAAATATGATTTGCTAAGACATGTTTCCATGGATAATCAGAAAAAGCAGCACCGCGTGAATTAATTTTTGGCTCGTGAAAACTTTTTCTCTTCCGGGCTTTTGTGTGGTTAGTTAATTCTGAAGAAATTTCAGGAAAAGTCAAACGAGGAACATAGCCTTTCCTGGTAGATCTGAGTTCCCTAGGGTACACAATGAGTTATTTCTTTTCCTGAGGATATTGAACCGCTTTTAAAACTTATCAACAGGAAACAGATCATGAGCCCTGTAATAGCAGGAAGAGTGAGAAGTGTAAGGGGAGCTTTTACATTGGAGACAAAAGCGCTTATGAAATAAGGAGAAGACTCTAGTAGATTGCCTTGGGTTTGGCCTTGATATTTGTTATTTATTTATTTATTTATTTATTTTTAATACGAAATTTATTGTCACACTGGTTTCCACACGACACCCAGTGTTCATCCCAACAGGTGCCCTCCTCAATCAGCTACTTTGTAAAGGGATTCTTGTCATTTTCGCAGAATGCAAAAACCATCGTTATTTGATTTACAGTGTACATAACTTTTTTACAACGTTCGTTGTATGAATAACTTTTTAGGATCTGGTAATATTATTATTCTATCAACATTACCATTCTCATGTTTTCCTTTTTATACGCTTAATGTACTTTAACCATAGCTTGTAACAAAGCTTCTTTACATTTATAGGACAGGGTTTTATGTTTCCTTTCCTCCTTTTTCTTAAAGCTAACTTGGATTTCAATGAGATGGATGAAAGATATCCAATTGAGTATTGGTGAGACCAACATATAAAACTCGTTATCTCTGTGCCAAGGCCCAATCCCTTACCAGTGCCTGGAAAAAGACCTTGATATTCTGGGCCAAAAGCAATCTGCAAGAAAAAAAAAAAATTTCCACCCGTACTATCTATGTGCAAAGCAGTATTGCCACTGAGGAAATTTGTAGGGTCCTATGCCAGCTGCACTGTAGATAAGATTCTGGCTTGTAAATTATGCATCACATATTGATGGAATGACATCAGCTGAAGGATGTTTGCCTTTGGCTTCATTGTACTTTTTCTTAACAGAGTTATTAAATGCTTCCTATCCTTTCCGTAAACATAGTTCCATGACAATACTCTGAAGAATCTTGAGACAGTCAAATTGTTATTGTTTCTCGTTTATTCCAGGTAATTATATTCAACCGCCAGCTGTCAGCTGTGAAAACCAAACACAGGACTCAACTTATACTGTGTTTTCTGTGTTATTTTCCTTTTCCAGGTTCAGCAGAAAATTAGAGAAAAATCCCTGTTATTGAAAAGCCCACCGTTTAAACTCCAGGTCAAGGGTAAATTAAAAAAACAAAATAGGGGCGCCTGCGTGGCTCAGTCCAACTTCGGCTCAGATATGATCTCACAGTTTGTGAGTTCAAGCCCCACGTCGTCTCTGTGATGACAGCTTAGAGCCTGGAGCTTGCTTCCCTCTCCCTGGAGAGGCTTAGAGCCTGGAGCTTGCTTCTTGTCTCCCTCTCTCTCTGTCCCTCCCCCCACCCAAAAAATAAATAAACATTTAAAAAGTCAAAGCAAAACAAAACAAAACAAAACATGAAAACATGCTCTTCCCATCCTTAAAGGACCTTATCCTTCAGAGGTCACCTTTTACAATAGACTTCTAGGTTCATTTAAGTTATTTCCACTAGCCTCAGTGGATTTATTTTGTTTCACTTTATTTAAGCGGTATCTTTATTGTAAAGAGAGATGAGAATCCAATGTAGCTCAGCTAGTCCTTGTGAAAAATGAAAAATTAAATAAAATTGTATTGGATTTAGCAGGTATTTGATGAGAATTTACTGTGTAGCAAGTTTTACTAAGGATGGTAAACAGAAGTAATGTAGTAATAATTGGCGAATTTTTCTTTCCTGTAGATTACAAGATACTTTCATATCTTGTGTCTTGGCAACAAGCTGATCTATGTACAAGGAGCCTGCAGACCTAGGATTCAGATTGTCTATAGATTTATTTGAAGAGAGTCATTAACTTTAAAACAGATATTTTGTCTAGACAGTTCCTGACATTTATATATAAACTTTAGCTTCTCGATATTCCTGTAACCCGCGCAGGAAAAAGGGTCATGTTTATCTAGACTACATTAATAAAGTTGATGCCTACAGATGACTAGTAATTTACTCCAGATAATAATAATGAGCACTGATATAGTGTCAAACTCTAGGAAAGGCAATAGTTTCAGCAATTAACATACATTAATAATTTAATTCTCAAATAATATTTTGAAATAAGTCCTATTACTATTTTACAATGAAGAAATTGAGGCACAGAGAGGTGCAGTTACAGTGGAATGTTACTTCTCCAAAAAAGACATCCAGATGGCCAGCAGACATGAAAAGATGCTCAACATCACTCGTCATCATGGAAATGCAAATCAAAACTGCCATGAGATGTCACCTTACACCTATCAGAATGGCTTAAATCAAAAGCACAAGAAACAATAAATGTTGGCAAGGATATGGAACAAAAGGAACCTTCTTGCACTGTTGGTGGGAATGCACACTGGTGCAGCCACTTTGGAAAACAGTATGGAGGTTCCTCAAAAAGTTAAAAATAGAACTAGCCTATGATCCAGTAATCATGCTACTAGGTATTTACCCCCAAAATACAAAACACTAATTCAAAGGGTTACATGCACCCCTATGCCAATAGCAGCATTATTTATAATAGACGAGATATGGAAGCAGCCCAAGTGTCCATCGATTAATGAATGGATAAAGATGTGGTACACACACACACACACACACATACACGCACACACAATGGAATATTATGCAGCCATTAAAAGGAATGAAATCTTGTCATTTGCAATGACATGGATGGAGCTAGAGAGTATAATGCTAAGTGAAATAAGAAAGTCAGAGCAAGACAAATACTATATAATTTCACTTATATATGGAATTTAAGAAACAAAGCAAGTGAGCAAAGGGGGAAAAAAAGAGACAAGCCAAGAAACAGACTCTTAACTACTGACAGGAGACTGATGGTTACCAGAGGGGAAGTCGGGGGGGGGGGGCGCGGGTAAAATAGATGATGCGGATTAAGGAATACACTTATCATGATGAACACAGGGTGACGTATGGAATTGGTGAATCACGACATTGTACCCCGGAAATTAATACTACAGTGTATGTTAACTATACCGGAATTGGAATTTTAAAAATAAAAAAAAAAAAATGCTGGAGTGTTAACCTTGAAAGTCTCAGCCTGAGTCCTTTGATTTGTGAGTACTAGAGACAGAGAGAGGAAAGAAGGAAGTTCACAGCTGTCCTTTACTGGAGATGCACTGGTACTGACGGCCTAACTACTCCTTCTACTTATATAAAGTGCTTGTAATGCAAGTGTCCAGTAGAATTCTGCAATCCTAAAAGGTTATTGTCTTACAGGCAGCAGATAGCTGTCTGTCTTCTTTCTAATATGAAAATCCATATCTCTGTCCTACTCTCCTGCAGATTCAATAGTGGAATGCCTGGAAGCCTAGAAAACATGCAAAGAAAGATCTGGCAGGCAGAGATTTTAAAAGCCTACATTTATTTATTTATATATATAAAAAAATCAGCCAGCTAGAAAGGCATCATCCCCCCCAGGGGCTTATAGATTTTTGTGTGGAATTTATAGTCACTCTAGATTGGGGGGGGGGGGGAACAAAAGCACAAGAACATGTTTTTTCTTCAGTTTGTTCTCAGCGTTTCGGGATTTTGTCCTCAGTAGCTCGAAGTCACTTTTATTCTTGGCAATTTACACAATGTCAAATGAAGGTCTGGAAAGCATTGAAGGAAATTGCCAAGTGTAAATGCAGAGATAGGCTTTGAGTCCCAGGTAGGTAGTTTCATAGCCCACACATCGGCATACTTCACTTGCCCCTTGGAATTTTGTGGCAGGTTTTCCAATGGCCTGATCAGCACACTCTTGCACTAGATCTCTTCAAGTGCAATTTTGTTCAGGTAGAGGATCATAATGCATACTTCTCACAGATAAAATATTTCCAAATGCTGCAGTTAGCGGAAGACAGGGACTTGTCCTTGAGATATCCGCAAAGCTGGTTAGTTGATTGGAGTGTCTTTACTGGTGACCTGGGGAGGCAAAGTCAGTGAATCTGACTTTAGGCATGGGGCTGACTGTGATGGTCTTGTGGGTACCTAACGAGAGGTGGGTAGCTCTTTGTTTTGTTTTAATATGGTATCCTCCTATGGCACCCTCTTTCTTCAGTAACAGAGCTGTTTCCCCTCAATAAAAATATGCTACTATAATAGCAAAAAGCCTCACATTAAAAGAAATAGAGACACAAAAGTTGGCTCTAACTTAGGATTTCTCTCCCGACTCTTAACTCTCAAAATACTAAGGCACCTAATCCTGTTCACCAATCTCCCTAGTTCTATCTAAAAACCTTAATATGGAAATCGCTTAATAATCACCATAATGTCTTTCCCTTAGTACTCTAGCCATTAAACGGTCCACAGGAAATGTCATGATACTGATAAATGTTGTTCATGCAGTGTCTCCAATTTTGATGTGAATGTGCTACGGGTGATGGCAGCAGGACTGAGAAGGAGGAAAACTTGGGAGCCATGAAGCTACCCTTCAAAGACCTCAGCTTTGGTTCCAATAAAAAGCCTGTGAAGCTATCATTGCTGGTTCTGTCTTCTGGAAAAACTCTGAGGTATAAAATAAAAGGAACGTCTGAATTCCCTCAGGTTTCTAATTTTTCTTGTAACAATTCCCTCAGACACTTACAGGTCAGGGGGAGGAGCGGAGCCATCTTGCCAAAGCCACGATCTGCTGAGACCATCCTGAGACAGTCCCACCCAGTAATCATAGCCACTTTTGATCTTCCTCAGGCTGCCAGTGATAAAGTCCTAGAAGCAACAAGACCTCAACAGTGAACTAGGGGGAAAACAGCAACAAACTATGATGAAATATAAAGTGTGACATTTTGCCTAGATGGAAATTGAGACAGAATAAGACAGAGATGGTTTTAAAAGAAGGGATGCATTTCGTAGATTTGTTTTTATTGTCGTACGATAGATGGGGTCTTAAGGACTATAAGGAAAATAAGCATCTGGCAATAAAATAATCTTAACAGATTCCGAGTTTGACAGTTAATACATGTCAAAACAAGGTGTGATACTAATCAGGAAAAGTAGAAATATCCTTGACATCATAGACCGCGTAGATCATTCTTTCCCGGTATACTTCAATACGAGAAATAATTTAGAAGATTCCAGAGGCAACTTAACTGTAGGGGTATTCTGTTAGAAAAAAAACATGACTAGCTTTTGCCACCAAATTTGCACAGAAAAAATAGTGGAAGCCTATAATTGTAGTGAGTTCAAGTTGTCTTGGTTTACCGCGTGTCCTTAACATATCGTTAAATTGTTCTCTCATTATTATTGGAAAATTGAACGTTAGCTAATTATTGAGTATAGCAAGCATACATTTTTAATACGGTCAGAAATGTGTCAACTCTGTATTCTACTTCATACATATTTCCATAAATACGTAAAACGATTTCAGGGAAACACTGCTTGTTAAGATGGTAGTAAACCAGACTAAACGTTTCATTTAGCAAATGCTTATTTTCATAGACCTCTCCATTTCGTGACGTCACTTCCCTTTTTATACTTCCGCTTTTCCTTGGCAATTACAGAGTTGTGATTGGCTGTTATACTTCCCTACAGCATTGAAAACGATGACTCTGAACCATACACAATTGTAATATACGTACATCTTGGAGTGGATCAACAAGTCATAAAATAGTATTTCCTTTACCGCCTCGCCTTTTTGATTAACAAAGGACATACAGCTAACATATTCTCGTTGATTTCTGGATAGCTTCCTGCTTTTGTTTTGTTTGTCTAATTAAAGGGAAAACAAACTTTGGCAATTCCCACTCCGTCTCTTTGAAACCTTTGTTACGTACAACAAATATACTACTCTTGTAGAATATTAAGGAGTCCTGTCTTCTTAGAATGAGTCCTTTCTTTTAACATATCAGGGTATTTTCAGAATGATAGGAAACCAGGAGATACTGTTTACCATTTCCTCTTTGCTGTCTATTTGTAGAAGATTAGAGCCCTCCTTCAAACAGTCCTCTTTACTGGTGTGCCAGATTTTCCAGTTTTCAAAGACATGGTAGCAACTTCCACCATTCTGAATCCAGTTGTTTGGACAAGGGCTGCAGTTATGGGCTTTGAATATAAACATACCTTGTTAAATTTATCAGAAAAATATCAGTAGCACATCTCCCCAAAGGAACCCCTTGTCTCACCCCCAATGAAACTGAGCACTTTTAACCAAATGGTTCGTATGAGGCAGTACTTACCGTAGTGAGATTTATATAATTATTTCCAGCTACAATAGGTCTGTAAGAACTAGTTTAAGATAAAATTAACTTTGGCGGGCCTGGGTGGCTCAGCTGGTTAAGCGACCAACTCTTGGTTTCGGCTCAGGTCGTGATCTCACGTTCATGGGTTTGAGCCCCACATCAAGCTTCAAGCTGACAGTGCTGAGCCTGCTTGGGATTCCCTCTCTCTCTCTCTCTCTCTCTGTCTTAAACTTAAAATCAGCTTTGGAATGTCTTTCCCCAAATTGTTCCTCTTCTGTAATAAGTGAGCTGATTGTTCTATTTTTATAAATATTTCCCTTCTTTAGGTTGACATCATTTATGTCTTCATTTGTTTGCTTACTGTTTCATGTCTGTTAACCTCACTGGTCCAATCTAATTGGAAATATACTGGACCATTAGGCAAGCTGAGTAATAAGTTTCAAGTTGATGTTTAAATTCTGAGAGTTAAACATGAACGTGTTTCGTATGTAAGGGAGAGAACAAACAGTTCATTCTACTTTGAGGAATGATTTGAGAAAAACATGAGTGAGGAAAATTGAAGAAAAACATAAGTGACCAATAAGCTTATTTCAGAACTTGGATATAACTAACAAGTAAGCCATATTGTTTAATCGGTTTTATGAACCCTGTCTTAAAGAATGTATTCACAAAAAAAGTGTGCTCAAGAGTATAAAAGGGGAACCGAAAAGCAGGAATTTGACCGTTTCTTGCGCAGTTTTATACAGGGAAAGACACTGGCATTTCCAGAACCCTAGTTTCTAGACAGAGGACTTCTACTGAGGGTCAAAAATAGTTCATTATCAGTTTCCATGGATCCAATGTTGAGTTATTTAAAGCTTTTCTGGGGCGCCTGGGTGGCGCAGTCGGTTAAGCGTCCGACTTCAGCCAGGTCACGATCTCGCGGTCCGTGGGTTCAAGCCCCGCGTCGGGCTCTGGGCTGATGGCTCAGAGCCTGGAGCCTGTTTCCGATTCTGTGTCTCCCTCTCTCTCTGCCCCTCCCCCGTTCATGCTCTGTCTCTCTCTGTCCCAAAAATAAATAAACGTTGAAAAAAAAAAATAAAAAAAAAAAAGCTTTTCATTATCCTTCATTTAAAATCTATGGTGATCAGTGTCTTGTCTATTGTTAAAGTTATAGCCTGAGTGGCATTGACAATGGCAGCTGAAAGGTTGGAGGACATGTTAGATTTGTAGGTCTCCAAAATGGATATTGTCATTGTCTCGAGGTTGGTGGCTCAGATGTGGGCCCAACTCATGCTTGCAAAAGCTTGATGTATTTAAAAACACTGTGGGGCACAGAGTGATTCTGTAAACATTTATTTGACTACATTTTAGTCAGAAGGAGCTATAGTAAGTAGGTTTTTGATCTCTCTCATTGGTGATTCTTTAAACGGTATTCACTCCAAGGATAATTAATGCCAATTAGGTAACCATAGAATATTTGACAAACTACAAAACAAATAGAAATAGGCTGTTTTAGGTTTAAATGCTTGTAAGAGGGGAGCAGCTTGGCTGGCTCAGTCGGTAGAGTGTGACTCTTGATTTCAGGGTTGTGAGTTCAAGCCTCATGTTAGGTGTGGAGTCTACTTGAAAAGAAATGCTTGTAAGAGATGTAAAAGATAAAACTGAAATAACTTCATAGAATATTTAAACAGAGCTGAACCCTGCATTGTTATAATTTTTGTGGTAAAGACTCTGATTTCTAACATGATTTTTCTGCCCAAAGGGATATCTAAATTTGAATCTAAAGCAATGTCTCAACCAAATCTATTGAAGAATTTAGAACTATAATTAAAGATGCACTTACAAATTGGAGTGATTGGGTAAAACATCAAATGCTGCTTAAAAAAAAAATCTGATCTAATCCTACACATTTCCCTTTGAAATTTGACTATATGCTTATTAAATCTGCATTTCGTGGGACCTCAGTATTTTCCACGTTCTATGGAAATATATAAGTAAGATTGAACTGAAGTGTGGATCAAAATTACGTCCCTCCGAATTTAAAGCTCTGACTGTAGTTCTGCAGAGAGTAAAATGTATGTCACTGTTTCTTTTAAGGGATTGGTGCCTGCACTTGTATCTGCACAGTGGAAACTGATTTGATATCAATTACCCGAAACGAAGGAGTTTTGCATCAAGGTTTGACAGTATTTCATCTGAAGGTTATGGTTTTTCTGCCATCGTGTGAAATTCCACATTGTTCTCTCCTGATGGATGAGTTTTTCTTGCTGCTTCATTGCAATAGTGGACACCTGGAACACTTCAGACAATCATTCTTAATAAAAAATACTAACAAATTATTGCAAAGTAGTTTTTCCATACAGACTAAGTACAGCTGCAAATTACTGATGATCTTTGGGACTTTAATTCGCATTAAGTTTTTGTTTACAATTTACACTGTTCAAGAATCAAAAACTTCAAAGGAGACAGAGCAAAAAGCCACTTTATCACCCAGTCTCCTCATGCACCTGACTTCACTCCCCAAGAGCAGTCAGCGTTACCAATTTCTTTTTTACTCTTCCATATATATTTGCTTGAATTTTACAAGCAAATGCATATAAAATGCCCTCTCTTCCCTTTGTATGGACGGTAGCAATCTGTTTATATGGTTTTTCACCTTTTATTTTACCACTTAAAATATATTTGGGGGGCACCTGAGTGGCTCAGTCAGTTGAGTGTCTGACTATTGGTTTCAGCTCAGGTCATGATCTCCTGGTTCATGAGACTGAGCATCGCATCGGGCTCTGTGTTGGCAGTAAGGAGCCTGCTTCGGATTCTCTCTCTCTCTCTCTCTCTCTCTCTCTCTCTCTCTGCCACTCCTTCAATCATGCTGTCTCTGTCTCAAAATAAATAAGTAAACTTTAAAAAAAGGTAATTATAAAGTACATTTTGGACCTAATTCCATATCAGTATATAAATAGCTTTCTCATCCTTTCATTATAACTGTATTGAATTCCATTGTTTGGATATATCATGATTTATGTTAGACATTTTCTATTGACTTTTAGACTGTTTGTAATCTTTTGGCATTCCAGAAATAAATACTATAATAAAGAACCTTAGTCATACATAATTTCACACATATGCAAGCATATTTTTAAGATAAGTTGCTTGGTCAAAGAATATGTACATTTAAGTTGTATTACATATCTCCAAATTACCCTCCATATATGCTGTTGCACATGGTATCTCAATATCATTTGACTTTGCATTTCCCTTTTTACACTGGTGTCGAAACATTTTCTCGTACACATAAATGTCATTTGTATTTCCTTTTCTATGAAGTGTATAATTATATATAATATATAATATATAATTACGTACATAATTATAATTTTTCTCATTGAGTTTCTACTCTTTCCTTGACTGTTTTATATGAGGTGCTTATTGTGCTGAGAATTCATTCAAATAGGCCTGGGATCAGCCTGACAGTGTCTGTAAAGTTTCTGCCTGGTACCGACCTCTGGACGAGGTATGAGACATACTGGTTAATAGTGTCGCTTTGCAATCATCAGTCTGAGGATGTCGGGGCCAGATTATACTAGCTTGTCGGCATTCTTTACTGATGCCATATGACCGATGATTTGCCCCTGGTTACGAGGAGGTCCTGAGCAGGGTCTGCTGTTGAAGCCGGTTACCTTACAGAAGTATGCCTATGCAGTCAGCAAAATATAAAAATTCCCAAGCAAGTCTCTATTTGGGGTGCCCTGGTACCAAAATATTCTGTGTATACATTGGTGGTTCCTGACTGAAGAGAAGAACTGTGTTCCGAAAGGATAGTCACAGAGGGAGGACGAGACACCTGTTCGTACCTGGCCTGTCCGGATCCTTCATTGTAATACATATCCTTACTTTAATGTGGTCGTTAAATTGTACCCTTTTCTTATGGTAAACTGTACATTTGTCAGCCCTGGCATTTTGGGTCGTGTGACTCTTCTTCGGCAAATCAATCTCGTGTAACGGGTTCTGTTAGTGCATTTGTACTTTGGTAAACTGAGCTTTTCCCTGATACGAGCTGCAGTTACACTGTCCCAGTGTGTCTGACTTTGCGTGTGGTAGTTTGCCCCACGTACGTCAGATGCTTTTTAAAATTTTTGATTTTGTTTAAATCCAAGGTAGTTAACATATACGGTAACAACGGCGTCCGGAGTTGAATCTGGCGATTCATCATCTACCTTTGGTAGTCAGTGCCTATCCCAACAAGTGCCCTCCTTAATGCCCAGCACCCATTTAGCCCATCCCCCCACCCAACACCCTCTCAGCAATTCTCAGTTTGTCCCCTGTATTTGAGGGTCTCTTGTGGTTTGCCTCCCTCTCTGTTTTTATCGTATTTTTCCCTTCTATTCCCCTATGTTCATGTGTTTTGTTTCTTGAGTCATTTTTAGTAAACAAATTGCACTTCAGATTATACTTTTATAAGTATAGTTCATTTTTCCATATTTGGTAGCTGGAATTTATTTCGTTGGAATTTATAAGGTATGACTTCAGCGTTTCTCCCCCAGATGGCTACATTGTGTGTGACCTCCTTTACTGAATGAAAACCCTCCCCATTGTCTTGGTTTTTTTTTTTTTAAGTTTATTTATTTTGAGAGAGAGAGAGAGAGAGTGCCGCATGCATAAGTGGGGGAGGGACTAAGAGAGAGAGAGAGAGAGAGAGAGGATCCCAAGCAGGCTCTGCACCATCAGTACGGAGTTCCTTGTGGGTCCCCGAACTCACGAACTATGAAATAATGATCTTAGCCGAAGTCAGATGCTTAACCGATTGAGCCTCCCACGTGCCTCTCCTCCCCATCCTCATTTACTTGCCATCTGTAGCTGAAGGGATAGAATTATAGGAATAATATATTTCTATTATTTTAGTTACATTCGATCCGCCTGCTTCTCGGCGGAATGAACCACACAGCCTTCATTATTTTAGATTTATAATTTTATTTCAATATTCGGCAGGGCCTGCCTTTCTCCCATTTTCACGTTACTTTTATATTATTTTTTGTTGCCGTTCTTTCCTTCTAAGTCTGACTCGCTTTTTAGGTCGATTCTTTTTAAAAATCATATTATAAAGTACCCATCTATTCCTAGTCTATTAAATAGTTTTCTTCACATGGATATTGCTTTTCTTTGTGCCATTTGGTTTTTATAGAATGTCTTGAAACCCGCGGCTGAATGTTTTTGATCAGTTTGCGAAAACATTCATCCAATAGGTCTTAAAATAATACCACTTTTATCGAACTCTCTCTTCTACTTTGGGGTCTGTTATTACACATATGCTAATCTTTCTCAATATGGTCTAGGACTCTTACCCTCTTTTCTATATTTTGCTCAAGAGCTAGGGAGATATGCAATGGAAGGTTTATACCTTGTCCATTGGTGGTTCAAGTAACCTACGCTGCTAGTGGCTTGGATTATGTTCCTTCTTAGCAAAAGGCTAGATATAACCAGAGTGGGGAGTAGGACAGTGATGTTATTTATTTTAAACTATCTGTAATTTGGCATGTTTAGAGATTGAAAAATAATTTTTTTTGGGGGCGCCTGGGTGGCGCAGTCGGTTAAGCGTCCGACTTCAGCCAGGTCACGATCTCGCGGTCCGTGAGTTCGAGCCCCGCGTCAGGCTCTGGGCTGATGGCTCGGAGCCTGGAGCCTGTTTCCGGTTCTGTGTCTCCCTCTCTCTCTGCCCCTCCCCCGTTCATGCTCTGAGTCTCTCTCTGTCCCAAAAATAAATAAAAACGTGGAAAAAAAAAATTTAAAAAAAAAAAAAAAAGAAAAATAATTTTTTTTTAGGAATTTGAAGTATTATTCTAGAAGTTTAAATTTCGATGAACTCTTTCTAGATTAACCATATTCTTTAGGTTATTGCTGCTGTGTTTATCACCATCTGAAAAGGTTGTACTGTATAAAACTGTAATAAAACTGGAGAAAGGGAAATGAGACTTCTCTTTTGTTCCCCCCCCCCCCAAATGGGAAGCAAAATACAGTGTTGGGCTTGTAATCAATTTGCAACAAGTGAGGAATAAAGATTAAACAATATATTTATTTGGGGGAATATAAGACAAATGTTTTTAAAGCCCCCCAAATAAAAGTATCTTATAATTATTCGATGTTGTATGATATACTTAATGGATGAATTAAGAAAATGAAAAAGAGGAGTAAAAACAAATGAAAAAATTTGATGTTTTAGAAAATATTTTGCACCGCAGAGCTTTCAAAATAGAAATTAGCATAAATCATTTGGTAGAAAAAAATAGAAAATACAAAATAGTAGGAAGAAAGCAAGAAACTGCTTTTCCTTACATTTAAGCCCACCATTCAAATAGTTGTTAGCATTTAGTTTATATCTACTAAAACTTTTTTCCACATATGCATGTAAAACCCCATCTATGTTACATATAATTTTTATAAAACTGTATTTTTCCATAAGTGACTTTTAAGTCTGCTTATTTCATGGGAACTATTGTGTAACCATATCTCCATATTAACAGCAACAGTTCTAGAAGACCTCTTTAAATTACTGCAGTGTATCCTTTTATATCAACGTACATGATTAATTTTACGAGTCATTTTACTGTCAGATATATATGGATGCATTTTTAATGGTATACAAGAAAATTTTGTAATTAACCCATGCATTACTTTCATATTTAAACAGGATATAAGGGCGCCTGGGTGGCGCAGTCGGTTAAGCGTCCGACTTCAGCCAGGTCACGATCTTGCGGTCCGTGAGTTCGAGCCCCGCGTCAGGCTCTGGGCTGATGGCTCAGAGCCTGGAGCCTGTTTCCGATTCTGTGTCTCCCTCTCTCTCTGCCCCTCCCCCGTTCATGCTCTGTCTCTCTCTGTCCCAAAAATAAATAAACGTTGAAAAAAAGAATTTTAAACAGGGTATAGATTTCATTCATTACTCTTTGTCAGAAACATGTCCCTGTTTCTAATATGTATATTAAATTATATATTATATAATAATTTAAACATTAATATTGCCCTTTTTCTTACAGTGAAAATTTTCACGGAGAGAATATTTAACATTCTTTATTAAGTGGAACATGATTAAGGTGAGATATTGTTAGACATTAAACATGATTTTTACAACTCAAAATATACTGGCTATAAAATAATCTATAACTAGAAGGACAGCGATAAGTTAAGAAAGTCTGAAGTAAACAAACCACTTCTTGTTTAGCACAACTCTTGTTTCTGTAACTGGCTTTTACTTAATAAAAGCCCTAAGAATGTTTTGAGAGTGTAAAAGATGATCTTGGCCAATGGCCATATTGGTAGCAAAAAACTAAAAGCCACTATACATGAAGAAAAGCCACTAGTAAAGATATTTTACATTTGTATAGTGCTATTTATAAGTTTTAAAAGTAGGTATTGGTAGCTATTAATGCAAAAAAAAGCCAAAGCTTGTATTTGTAAGCATTTTCCAGAAATTACTGAAAGTTTTAAATATTTTATTTTCTAGCTAGCTTTCCTTTATCCTCATGGAAGTATTTTCTTCCCATATTTTTTGTTTTGGGAGTTAAAAAAAATTGTTTCATACAGACTACATCCATGGGATTACGGCATTAAAAAAACAATAAACAGCAATCACTGATGTTGTCACCGTCTATCTTACGTTCCTGACCCTGTTTTTAGTTACTTTTGTATCCTTCCAGTGTCACTCTGTGCATGAATTCTTGTACTGTCGTCAGAACGGAGCTAGACAATATTCCATTCAAAGTGCCCAGGTTTTACAGAAGAAACTGAATTATTCGAGGTTAATTTACTTATCTGTTAGTTCTCTTTCAACTCCTCAATCTATTTCCAGTGTGTCTGTTTGAGAAATATACATTTAAGTGTGAGTTTCCTAAAAAAAAAATAGACTTGCGTTTGATTTAAATAACGTTTTTATATGATACCCAGAGAGAGTAGACAGTGAGATAAGGAAGGCTTTCGCAGTGCTAACATTTGTTGTGAAATTTCTTTTGAGGTGATAGACAAGGCAACAATTACTTATTGAACTTCTAGTAATTCTTAAAACAATTTTCTAAGAACAATCAGGAAAATAAGTTCATGGCTAACATGAACAAGATCAAGTTTCTTGTACTTTGTGGAAGCAAATCTGAACCCGTCTCTTCTTCATTCTAGAACTCATAATTCTCACCAGCTAATGTCTGCTAGATAGAGAAATGTTTTTCCAGAGCATATGAAAAGGAGGCATTATCTGGACAATAAACTTTATCTCTGTCTTTCTATATATACTTCCTAGTGCTAGCATGAGTGATAATCCAAGTTGTTGGTTGTTTTTTTGTTTGTTTTTTGTAATCTGCAGCTCTGTAATTATTATATCTTATAAAAATTTCACTAGCCAGATACGAAAACATGTCTTAAAATTTGGACTAAAGAAATGTGATTATGGCCCAAATAAAGTGTTCAGATTCCATTAAGCTTACTATTTTGTACTTTGCCTCATAGAAAGTGAAAAGCTCTTACTAAAATAATCTGCATAAAGTTAAATTTAAAATACATGCATATTTAGAAAAGAAAGAGCTTTATACTGAAATCTTTCAAATTGCATCCTTTGGCATACTAATAAGAGTCACAAATTGAATCATAATATAAGTCATTATTTGCATTATTTTCCCCAAAGAGACGATGGCATTAGATTTGAGTTAAACAATTAACTAATGCAGATGAGCATTAAAAGTTATCAGTAGCATCCCAGTGCTTAGAGAGTTACATAAATGCCCCATAACTTAAATTAGTAAGCCATTATTTTACATCACTTATATGCATTTACAGGTTTCTCATGGATTGGTTTATCTATTTATAAATTATGATATTTATTTATAATGATATATAGAATTGTCTATAAAGCTACATGCAGCATATATGTACATATGTATTTTTATAATGTATAATTATATGTAAAGTATATGTAGTATGTATACAGAGAGATTATTTAGAAGATTCCCTTTTGTACTTACACTTGATGCCCAGGAAAACAGAGGTTGTTACTGAGCCCACGCAGAAAATACATGAAATCACCACCAGAAGACACCATGTTCCTGAGCAAGGAATAGGGCCAATGATACTGAGTTAGAGAAAGTAGACGAAAGACATGGGCTAAGAGCAGACCGAGTGAAAGAAAGAATTTGCATTCCTACTAGATAGAGAATCCCTGAAGCCCTGGGGACTGTGGTAACAGGAAAAAAGCACTCTGAACTTTTGGAAATGCAAGTTAGACTTGGAAAAATGTCAAATCCAATAGGTTAAACAACATACTTCTCTTAATGGTATATGATGCCACAATCTTACTACCTAGTTTTCTAGTTTTCTCTTCCAGCAATCTTTTAGAGCAAACCGGGTAGTAAGCCTTCATTTTTGAAAGCAAACATCCTCATCTCTCTCCAGTGCCACTTGAACAAGATTGGTTCAAAGATATTTCTTTTATTAAAAAAAAATTGGGGCGGAGGGGGGCGCCTGGGTGGCTCAGTCGGTTAAGCGTCTGACTTCGGCTCAGGTCATGATCTCACAGTTTGTGAGTTCGAGCCCCACGTTGGGCTCTGTGCTCACAGCTCGGAGCCTGGAGCCTGTTCAGACTCTGTGTCTCCTTCTCTCTCTCTGCCCCTCCCCCGCTTGTGCACGCTCTCTCTCTCTCTCAAAAATAAATAAATGTAAAAAAATTTTTTTTAATAAAAAATGATTCTTTTTAATGTGTATTTATTTTTGAGAGAGAGAGAGACAGAAATGGAGCATGAATCGCGAAGGGGCGGAGAGAGAAGGAGACACAGAATCCCAAGCCGACTCCAGGGTCTGAGCCATTAGCACAGAAAGAGCCTGGCACGAGGCTCACACTCATGGGCGGGGAGATCATGACCTGAGCTGAAATGAAGAGTCAGACACTTAACTAAATGAGCCACCCAGGCACCCCTTAATTTTAAAACATAAAATTTTGGCTGAGGGACATTTTTTTTTTCCAGGTAATTTTGCATCTATTCAGGAAGGAAAAATGCAGAATGTATGATTTGCTATATTCTTAACACTAGCCAGAAAGAATTAAAAGTTATCTTTGTTTGGATTATGTGGTAGGGCTGAATAATGCCACTGCCCCAAATGCCCATGTCCTACTCCCTGGAACCTGTAAATATTACCTTTTGTGGTAAAGGAGACTTTAAATTAAGTGAAGGATCTTGGGATGGGGACTTTATCCCGTTTAATCTGGGCCTTTATGAGTGGGAGGTCGGGAGTCGGGGTGCTATATGACAATGGAAGCGGAAAGACACTTGAAAACATAACGCTACTGGCTTTGAAAATGGAGGAAAAGGCCATGAGCCAAGAAAAGCAAGAAATGCCGCTCTAGAAACTAGAAGACACAATGAGATGTATTCTCCCCCAGGGCCCCTTAAAGGAACGCACCCTTGCCAACGCCTTGCCCAATGAAACCAATTTTGGACTTCTGACCTTCAGAACTGTAAGGTAACAAATTTGTCTTGCATTAAACCCCTCGGTCCGGGGCGCCTGGGTGGCGCAGTCGGTTAGGCGTCCGACTTCAGCCAGGTCACGATCTCGCGGTTCGTGAGTTCGAGCCCCGCGTCGGGCTCTGGGCTGACGGCTCGGAGCCTGGAACCTGTTTCCGATTCTGTGTCTCCCTCTCTCTGCCCGTCCCCCGTTCATGCTCTGTCTCTCTCTGTCGCAAAAAAAAAAAAACTTTTAAAAAAAAAAAAAAAAAAAAAACCCCTCGGTCCATGTTAATCTAGTATCAAAATAATAAGAAGCTAATACAAATGTTAAAAAATAATACCAGCACTGATCACTGGAGCAGACAGCTCCAGACTGATAAGATTTTGCCAGGTTTTCAACCCCTGTTTTCTCTTTATTTCCTAGTATTTGTCAGGTGATTTTCATGGTATTTTATGCAGGAACCAAACTAATAAAAAAAAATATATGATTTCTTTCATGTATCTTCCAAATTTGGGAATTCGTTGTCTTTCCAGCAAGAGAGAGGGAAGAGGGTTACTTTTTTGTCATAGGTTACGTATTTGTCGTAGCCATTGCTCTTTTCGTTTCGCACCTTTACTTACTGAATCCCATATCACTTCATTTTTAACGTTAGCGTATCATGCACATTATCAGATGCATACGTGAGTAATCTCATTAGAAAAATCACCTTGGGCTCATCGTAGGCCAGGAAACAAAATGTAAACTGCAAAGTCTTGGACTAAATAATCAGAACTGGTTACCTGAACATTTGGTGGAAGACAGATGTTTCTGGTAAGGGCTTGGTGTTGGATTATCCCACTGGAGTGAGTTGTATGTCCCTTCTTCCTGCATGTCTGAGATGCTTCGACAGATAAGGCAGTCTCCAGGAGAAGCCGAGGCAAAATATCTCCTCTTGTGGCAGGAGCAGGCTGGTGAAAGAATTGAAATTGACTACTTCTCTCACCGGTGGGAAACTACGTTTGGGTTTAAGGAATAGAATCGATGCATCTTCATCTAGAAAGTAGAAGTTTGTGAAGTTGAAGCCAGAGTAGAACTTGTTAAAGAAGGAAATGAGAAAGAACCTGAACTTGAAAAGGCCGATGGTAGAATAGATTATTGCTCTGGTTTCGAAAGCACAGCAGATGTTGAAGGTGACAGCACTAGGTTATTGTCAAGATGAAAAGAATAGAAGTCCAAACAGCACCCTTGTATTTGGTGTAGGAAGCATTTGGATGACCTAGGGAGCAAAGAGCCAGGGTTCGCTCACCTGGGACAAACCAGGATGTAAGGAGCTGTGGATCACTGTGTATCCTTAAAACAAAAAAGCTAGGGAGGGATTTCATCTCTAAAATTAATTTACCTGCTGTAGTAGTTAGGGTAATATAGTGACAAGTGAGTTTCAGAAAGCACACTAAAGACTATTTCTTGCTCACATAACAATTTAGCTTGAGTAACCCTGGTTAGTGGGTCAATTTCTTCCAAGGGGGACCCAGGCTCCTTCTATCTCGTGAGACACCGGAGTCCCTTGGAAAGGGAAAGAGAAGATGGCAAATCCACATCTGCTCGAAAAGCCATAACCTACATGTAGCACATCCACATCCACTAATGTAATGCTTGTGTTTGGATCTAAAAGGCTGGGCCCGATAAATGTGATTTTTGCCTGGCCAGGGAAATTTTTGTGACAATGTTACTCTAAATGGGAAGCATGAGTTATTTAGTGGATAGGTGGCCATTTCTGTCACATCCTGTGACTATAGCATTGGTATTAAGAATCTTGAGACTTTAATCACCATTCACATATTGGCCATTTGTCCTTATGGCCAAAGGTCATGTCTTAGTAATGCATAGTTTGCAAATCTCAACAATCTGCAAAATTGCAATGCTCCCTTTTGTTTCAGTGTCTCCCTGCATCAATCATTGGTCTCTGTAACAGAAGAAAACAAATGGCATATTCAGAGAGTAATCTAAGGGCATTGAATAAGGGCGCTGTTGGGGGAAGGATTAATGGACCCAAAAAAGGTGGTGAGATATGCATTGGGATACTGTTATCACCCCTAGGCCTGAGGAGTGAAGGGGAGGGTGTTTGAACTCTATGACTTGTTTGATAGGGGTCATGGCCTAAGATACCGAACTTACAGCCTTTCCTTTGCCAAACCATGTCATGGTAGGGAAGACCCAGGGACTGAATACCTTGACCACTGTCTCATTTCAACCTTTGATCACTGCTAGGACCTCCCAATAGCTAAATTAACTGGAAGCCAGGGGCAAGTTTCCCCAAATAATGCTGGTTATTTGAGTTCTGCCTCCCAAGACACAGGGTGGGGCCGAGAGGATCTCAAGAGGTAAAGGGAGACTATCCAGCAAATTCTCTGAATAGTTCTAATGGTTTTCATGTGACTTGAGATTCTGATCTGAAAAACAACGTCACTTAACTCTGTGGCCTTTTTAATGTAGTGATTTCTATCTTGAAGAGAAGAAGAGGAAGAAGCCATAAGCGTGCCAAACATGCATTAAGACTAATGTCAGGAGCACAGGAACAGGAAGTTCAATGAGTTGTCATTAATTTCCAGGTGCGCTCACATTTTGTCAGGACTAAATATCAAGCTTAGAAAGATCTAGTTTTCTGTAACACAGTATACGCTCTGATAAATTTCTTTAGGGGAAACATTGGGCTCTCCCAATAAAGAATTAATAGGTTACTTGTATCGCTTTTGATGTTTTTAATCATACCACCTTTTGCTGATTAGTCATGACTTTCCAAGTAGTGTTTCAAAAGGCTTTTATGTGAATTATTTTGATTCTCAGAACAGCTCTATGAAACAGGCACTGTCATTAGCACAGTGTAACTTCGTTGTAAATTGAAGCACAGAGAAATCAAACTATTTACCAAAGTTCATTTGGGTAGTAAGTGGAAGTCAGTATTTGAAATTAGGTGCTCTGATCACAGAGCCTGTGCTATTAAAATCTGTGCTATTCTGATTTCATGTATAAGATTATTTTGATCTGAGGACCAGAAAAAAGAATCTTTGTAGGCACAGTTTGATTGGTTTACATTTTTTAATTGCATTTTTTCCAGGACCTAAGATATCATATTATTCTTTGAAATTTACTTATGCCATAGTGATGTATAAATATATGTTTGTTTGTTTGTTTGTTTGTTTTTCCATTTGCGGGTGATAAAACACTAAAGTCCAGAGATATGGTTGATTTCTGGATGATTTTCTCAAATATCAGTTCCTATTCCATTTCTCTAAATCAACAAATAAAACAGTAACATAATGATACTCTGCCCCCAAGACCATAATTTCAAGACACTTGAAGTAGAAGCGAAACCTGAGGTATTTGTGTTATTTTTCCTGTCTCTCCAAAATCTGCTTGTTTATCGATAGCCTAAGACAAGATAAAGATCCAAGGGTCTTTGGGTAGTAGAGCACGAAGGTATAAAATAATACCTATTTGTTGAGTATTTATTACATGTTTGGTACTCTGCTCAATGTTGTATATATCATATCAGATGATCCCATTACCTGTGAGTAAAGTAATAATATTAAAACCATTTCACACATGAGGAAACTGAGAGTAACTTACCAAAAGCCACACAGGGAGGAAGTTCTAATGTAGTTTTTCTCACAATGTATTAAAAACTACTTGTAGCAGAATCGAGCCGGAGTGCTTCTTAAAAGCACAGGACTCAGCGTCTTCTCAGCCTTCCAACTGAGAACCTTGAGTATTTGTGTTTGCACATCTGCATGGTTTACCAAACCTCTCCGTTGAGATGTTTGAGAATCCCACTCACAAATTTTATTACCACCAATGTGAGAAGAAAGAGTGGCTTCAAGGAAGCTGTGGGAAAGAAATGCAATGTTTGCCTGTTATCCCGTGAAAGGGTGCCTCCCCACGTATCTATAAATACTTCAGGAGTTATTCGGCAAAAACCAAGCATAGAACTGTCAGGAAGAGATAAAACATTTTTACTTGCCGTTTTGTCTACTTGCCTATGGGCCTTGTTAAGGAAGCATTTTCTTATTTTTAAACCCCATCAGGCTTCTTGCCCAGAAACTTTTATTTTCCTTGCACAGAAAATTACAGAGGTTGAGTCTGACCAAAGCAGACTCAGAATCCAAATTGTAATTCTGTGATGTTTTACAGATTGTGGTGCTTTTCACGCGACGACAAGTGACTGTTTGTTTGCTTCCCGTGAGCCACAAGGAGCCGTGTTTCATGCTGGGCGTATAGGAAAGTCATGGTGTTTGCCTTCATGGAGTTATCGATATAGTTAGTACCCTGACCTTTTCTTAGGTTGTGCGAGCGTGAGATAATGGGTGCTATTCTATTTGAAGTATCAGAAAATGAACGTTAAAGGGGCCACACTACTATTTGGTCCATGGTTGTACTTAAGTCATCATCTACATTGTTCTACGGAGTCCAAGTTCAGTTTTCTTTCCACTACCTTATGTTGTCTTTCAAACGTAGATATTTTGCACAGCTTCGGTTGATGAAAGCCTAGCCGTTCTCATTCCAATTTAAGGTGTTTTTTTGTTTGCGTCTGAAGATGCAGTGAATCATACTGTGTTGACATAATTATGAGGAGAAGACAAGAAGAAAGAAAACCCATGGAAACAGAACAACTGAGAACAAATGATCAACTCACAGACTGGCTTCCGGATGTATAAAGAAGGGATTAAGTTATCCCTTAGTATGAAGGGATAGATAAAGGAGGAATGAAGCGGGGTTGGTAGAAAAGATAATGTAAAGATGACTCCAAGGGGGATGAAGGGAAAAAATAAACAATTTTATGTCCAGGAAGTCGTTCATCCAGATCTGTCACTGTACAATCAAGCACCTGTCTGTGACATCCTTCCCATCTCTTTGCATTACAGGAGTGTGTCCACCTTTGTCATGCCTGCCTTCCTCTCACACATTAAGTAATGTTTGTCATTACAGAAGGTGGGGTAAATTTTCCCATTATAAAAATAGGCACAATTCATATTGTCTCCTCCATTTCCAGAAAGCTCAAACCTGTGAATGGAAAAGGGAGAATGAGTTCCCGTGAAAAACGATGTCAACAATCAACGATCAAACCCTGCGTGCAAGTATTTTGTGGCACAAAGTGGAAAAAAAAGGAAACACACATTCAGATCATTGAGAAATTTTCACTCTGCTCGGGAGTATAAAGTATGCACAGCTGAGGAGCTCCGTAGCGATTTCAAACAGCATCGATTAAGTAGTAAGTGAGCAGTAGGCACCATTAGAGTCCAGAGAAAGAGACGGATATGGATGGGATCTAAAACTATGGAGAAGGCTTTATCTTTTCATCTTTTCATAGGAGAGCACGCTTTAGCTCTGTCTTGAAGGGAGGATAGGATTTAGATAAACAGAGAGGAGTTAGAAGAACCCCGTAGGACAAGTAGCTGCACAAAATGGGAAGGAGCTCAAGGAAAAGTAAGTTGATCAGACATTTTTTAAAATGAGGATTTGTGTTACAAGCTAGCAGATATCAGGCTAAGCACATTCTACCGTGATTGCCTTACCTTGTCTTTATTCCCTGCCACACTGCTCGTGACAAGAGAACAAAGAATGTATACATCTAATTGGTTTGCCAAACCTCTGTAAGATACCTACCATGGGCCAAAGCTGTTTTATGTGCCGATGATAGAGTCAACAAGGACACGGTCCTTTCTATCAGGGAAATTACATTAAATATAAGAGGATAGGGGCGCCTGGGTGGCGCAGTCGGTTAGGCGTCCGACTTCAGCCAGGTCACGATCTCGCGGTCCGTGAGTTCGAGCCCCGCGTCAGGCTCTGGGCTGATGGCTCAGAGCCTGGAGCCTGTTTCCGATTCTGTGTCTCCCTCTCTCTCTGCCCCTCCCCCGTTCATGCTCTGTCTCTCTCTGTCCCAAAAATAAATAAACGTTGAAAAAAAAATT